TTTGCTGCACCTCTCAAGCCAATTGTCTGGCTATATATCGTTTAAAAATCCCTACTGGTTTTGCCTGTGCAGTTTTCTGGGGCAGCACAAAACTTGTGTGAAGAACTGCTTTCTCACCTCATTCGGTTCAGTTTTTTTAAAAAAAGTTTCCAATTTTTTAAAAATATTCTCACTATTTGTCCGCTTGCGGTGTGGTGCCAGCGCCCATCAAACCACAGCCAGCAAGACGCCAAATAATGCATTGTTCATATACAATCACATCGGGAAGATGTTCCAAAGCCCTGGACAGTCAGGGATTTGGACCCGAGCTGGGGGTTGGATCAGGGGGTGGGGGGGGGGGGGGGCTGGGATGGTGGGGGTAGGAAGATGAACGAGGGCAAGTTTGAAGAGCAGAGTCTTGAAATGGTCCTTGAAGGAGGAAAGGGAGGGGAAAGGTGACGGGACTGTAGGATGAGGTTCCAAAGGGTGGGGCAGAGAGGCTGAAGGTCCGACTGAGTGGGGGACATGTTTGTCAGACCAGAGCCCACTGAGCCCATTAGGGTTTACGTCTCCCTGTAATATAACCCTAGTGTACACAGCCTTTCTTCAGACCCTTTCACCTCATGGGCTTGTGACGCTGCCCTTTACTTACTTTAACAATTAGTAACGGACGGTTCAAAGAAATGAATAAGAAACTGCAGTGTTTGGTGAACATTTTATTTATACTTGGTTGCTTAAAAGATACATTTACTTGTTCAATCCAAAACAATTCAATACCACTTGGTCAAAGTGGTGCCACGGCAAACTCGCCTCGTCCAGACAATCATTAGCAAACAGTCGTCAAACCAATGGGACTCAAAATACTGTCCTCCAGCTCCAGCAATCACACCACACTGATTCAGGATCCCTCCCTCCCTCCCGCTGTTAACACATCAGACTTGTAAGGCTTTCAGTTCAGTGACCATTTTGTGGAGAAAGAAAGAAAAACATTTTGCATTTTTATCTTTATGACAGCGAACAGCTTCACAACTTGACTTTGTGCAGGCAAACGAGGCAGCCGTCGTACCATCCCGCAAACAGCTGTGAAGTGAAATGGCCGATCAGTTGGATCTGAGAGGTCCGTAACTGGACAAGTCAATAGCGACGAGGCAAATGCACCATTCAGGAATCACTCTTTAGGGGAGGGAAACGTATTTTGCCACATTCGGAAAGCAAATGCTCAATTAGCTCTTACAATTCTGGTCTGTTGTCGGGACACATGATCGAGTTAAAAGGTCACCCAAGTCTTGTCCCTTGCACAGAACTTGGAGATCACTACCCACCTCTGAATGGGATAGTGTGGCTGAAAGTCCCATTCACTTTGGAATGGATTCATTTGCAATTGAGAATCACTGTGGCCAAACATTTGGGCCAAACATAGTGAATTAGAAATGTAACTATTTCTCAGTCAGGCTACAAATCTGCTCTAAGACATTCCCTCCCTCGCCCGCCCGCCCGCCCTCCCTCCCTCCCTCCCTCAAACCCAACGGTTAAACTTGAATATACATTGAGACAAAAAAAAAGAAATAACATTGAAGCTCCACTGTACATTTCCTGAATAGTTGGTTACTGTGAGCCGAGCAGGATTACCTCACCCCCGTCTCCTGTCAATGTCAGATCTTACACACATTTAATAAATATAATTAGCAGTTGCAGCTCTGTTGTAAGACGGCGGAGTTTTTCACTATTACTATCACAGAAGTATTCAAACTCTATATTGTTTTCACTCCAAACTATGTCCTCTCAGCTAATCTAAGACTTGGCTCTTGTTGGTTTCGAGGTACAAGTGGGCGCCTGAGAGTTGAATGTGGTTGAGGATTTGGGAAAAGGGGACACGTCAAAAGAGTTTAAAAAAAAGGTACCCAAAAGTTCTGCCCTCTCTCACTTTTAACAGGTTCCCTTGAGACGTTACAACACTGGGATACATGCAGCTCAAGCGATGGCTGAGAGCGACGTCTGGTCCAGATTCAAACTTCTTAAGAGCTGAGAGGAGACACGCTGCAGTGATGGCTGCCCATTGTAACCCCAGGCAGCTGGGCTTCTTACACGGCCCGACACACACCAGACAGACACGTGTTCTGTAGACAAGTGACGCTTTCACTAGGGATATTCAGCTAGTAAATTCTAATCAGTAATCCATTCTATCTTATTAAACCCACTACTGTCAAATGGTTTAGAAAGGGAGACATTTGCTTCCTTTGCCTTTATCTCCTTCCCACCTCTCCTACAGACAAGATTTGCTCCTCCTGGGTAACCACCACAACAACTTGCAGTTATTTAGCGCCCTCCACGCAGGGTAGCGTCTCAGAGCGTAAAGGAGTCTAACGACGCTCCTGTTGTAGGCTTCCCTGATTTAATCATCAATACACTCAGAGCAATGAGGCTAATCCCCAGTGTTAGAGGGATGAGCTCCAAGCAAACTGGATAAACTGGGATTCTTCAGCTGTTAGAAAGGATGTGTGGAGGGGATGCGATCTGACAGCAATCAATTATTCACTGACAATGTGCGAGCCTTGACCAGTTGGATATTTGACTGGGAGAAGAGAATAGCCAAGGTTGACGCAGAAACCAGTAAAAGGCGTTGGTTGTCAGTTAGGAGTGGGAATCCAGGACGTTTAATTCCATCCCTAAGCCAGGGAGCTAAATCCGCACCAGTCACTAGGAGCCAGTTTCCAGCCAAAGTAGCTGATACAGTATCACTGAACAAATCCGGTCTTTCAAGTAAAAAGCATTGAAAGATCAACCCTGTTTCCAAACACAGGATTTTGTAGAACAGAGGCATTGAGATTGCAACCCGTGTTAATTATCACATCACTGACAAATCTGATCAATGAGGCCAATCAATAAGTAAAGACCACAAGTGACTGGGATTAAGATTCATCCCCCAACTCCTGGTTAAGGTTTTGCCTGTGCTAACCAAATGGACATGGAGTGTTAGTTAAATCCAATCCACTGCACTAGAATGCAAGCTCACACTGGATTGCTGGTTAACAGAACAGCTAACCTCGGATTATTTTAATTGAGCCACTACAATATTCCACTAACCTACATTCATGACCTGATCTGCTAACCAGCAAACCCCGAGAGTAATTTGTCTTCAAAACAACCCATTAAGAAGAAGTTGGGCTGGAAATGTACCCACATCCGATCTTCAGTTACTGACTGGCCTCATTCACTGCATTTATCAATGATGGGATGATCAACAAAGACACGACGAGTCTCAAATTTCTAGAATAAAATGTAATATTAATAACCAAGAAATGCTTTTAATATACAGTTATCTTTACAAAGTTCATCGTGCTTAGCATCTCTCTCCTTACCTCCCCCCACCCCCCCACACACACACATACAATGTTCCTCACCAGGGAACATGTATAGATGCTAAGCCAATTCCTTCTCACCCCTATAATCGCAATGCATGGTTAAAATGAAATGGGGGAAAGGAGAGAAATCACAGACAAAGAGAGAAAGGAACACTGAGCATTGGTATCAGAGGCATAAAATTCCAACTAACCATTTAAGACCATTTTGTCTTCAAATTGAAGATCGACCAGAAAATTCTTTAAAAAAATTAATCTTCATTTTGGAAATGTGCGTTTTTCTTTTAAAAAAAAGACTGCAAGAAAAGCTTCCGAATTAATGATTGTTATAATGATGATCCTTGCATTTGATATAGCATCTTACCACGTCTTCCAGACGTCTCAAAGCGCTTAAATTAAGACACAATTTTAGAATGTTCCACGAATCTGCACAATCTTAAAATTTGAAGAAAACGTGCTTTAAAGGCATGTTTTTACATGAATTTAGGCAAGAGTTTAGGCCTCGAGGGCATATGGTGAGAGACAAATTTCTGCGCTTTTAGTGTTACTGAGCAGATCTGGATTTACTGTAAAAAAATATAAGGCTCTTTTTTCCCCCAATGGGAAACAACTGTTTGGTGGGGGGGAAGGGGGGGGTGAGGGGGGAGGTAAAGGGGGAGAAGGGATGGGGGGTGGTCACAATTTGACTACTTTGGCCGCTGTAGGTAAACCATGGCCGAATGGATCTTGGGTTTAAAAAAAGTTTAAAGTAATACTAACTTTTCAAAAAATAAAAGCACAGTACAGTATATTTAAGATGAAATATACAATACAAACTCCCCTAAGTGTGTAGGAGTGTAGGAAAAGAGACAGAGGAAAAGAAGCGTTTAGAATAAAGTGCCAATACAGCTGTTCCTTCGAGCAAAAGAAAAACCTGGGTCTGAAGTGTGGCCTTGGGGAGTAGGGGGATAGGGTTGAAGAGGCCACACTCGGTGTAATGGTTGGCAAAGGACATTCTCCTTAGTTTATAAATAGTCGGGGTTTCTACTGTTCTTAATTTATATAATCTCTCCCAGCATCCGGGGGGGAACTACAGTTAATAGTGATAGTGGCTGTGGATAGCTACACACACACATTGCTAACACCACCGCCCCCATACACACACACGCACACACACACAGTGACACCAGCCACACACACACACACACACAGTGACACCAGCCACACACGCACACACACATAGTGACACCTGCCCCACACACACCAGCCACATACACAATGACACGAGCCACACACACACACACACACACACACACAGTGAAATCAGCCACACACACAAGTCCCCCCGTACACACCCACAGTGACACCAGCCACACACGGGCACACATGACACGTGCCACACACAGACACACACAAACATACACATAGTGACACCAGCCACACACAGTGACACCAGCCCCCTGCGCACACACACAATGGCACTAGCCATACCCAAACACACACACAGTGACACCAGCCACACACACACACAGTGACACTAACCACACACACACACACACACACACACAGTGACACTAATCACACACACACACATACAATGACACCAGCCACACACACACACACAGAGTGACACCAGCCACACACACACACAGAGTGACACCAGCCACACACACATACACACTGTAACACCAGCCGCGTCCCCCCCACACACACAGTGAGACTGACTCAACATTGAGGAGAGAAACAATGTGCAACTCCAATAGCAAAGAGAACAGCTGTTACTTGAAGGATTATTCTGTGTGCCTCACAACAGTTTGGTTCTGAAATAATCTGCTGAAGATACATAAAATACATCAATTTGTTAACCAGGTTAATAAACACGGTTAAACTCTACAGTCTGATCTCTCGTTCCCCCCCTTTCCCCCTAACCCTAACGTCCTTCCCTCCCCCCTACCCTACAGGACAGTGGCTGTGAAGCGGAGCTCAGTCCAGGGGCTGGGGTTCTGCGATGGGCATGGTGTGCAGGACCTCATCCAGGAGCTGCAAGGCGCGGTGGAGGTGAATCTCGATCCAGCAGGGGGTCTCCTTGATGCTCTGCCGAGGGTAGTCGGGTCCCCAGCCTTTCACAAAACTCATCCTGAGGATGCACAGCCGTCGAAGGTCGTCCACTCCTATCCCGGCTGCTGCAGAGAGACCTGAGGGAAATAACGGCTGATATTAATTGTATTAATTGCACAAAGGGCTGGTTAATTTCCACGGGGCTCACCCATGTGAAATCAAGCATCATCGAACCTTACAGCGAAGAAGGAGGCCATTCGGCCCATCGTGCCGGTGCCGGCTGTTTGGAAGAGCTATCCGAATAGACCCACTCCCTTGCTCTTACCTCCAGCACATTTTTCCCTTTCAAATACCTATCCAATTCCCTTTTGAAAGCTATTATCGAATCTGCTTCCAAGTGGAGCCACGGGAGAGAATTGACTGTAATTTGGCTGGAACACAGGACACTAACACCAGGACTAAAGGGCAACTTCTCAGACTGGCACTAAGTAGGAAGTGTGTTTCTGCACGGTTCTCTATTAGGACCACAACTGTTCACTCTGCAAAGAAATAATGTCCTCAGATGTTGTGTAAAAATTCAGAGGACACCAAGTTTGGGGGATATAGAAAATAATGAGGACTGAAAAGGGAAGATACAAATAGGCTTACAAGATGGGTGGGCAGATGGCAGATGAGATTTAATACAGTAAAACTCACATAAGTTTTATCGTATAATCGCCAAAGTTGTACATTCACCCGAGTCCCATTCAGTTTCCACTTACGATTTCTTTGCACTATTCGTATTAATCACCACCTAATCCTAACGCCTCTCTCCTACCCGCCATTACTCCACATTTACTGACTGCATCAAATCATGGGAAGAGTAATCCTGACCTGTCGACCCATACGCAGAAGAACTTCATTTCCCGCGATTCCAATGCTGGTAAAATATGTGACAGTTTGCGACAGTCAGACAGCACATGCGGCGATGGTCTACACCCGCACCTACTGGCTGAAAACTTTCATTTATTGAGTGCTTTTCACATTGGGAGGAAGTCCCAAGGTGCTGGGCAGTCAGGGTTTTCACCAAAGGGGATTAGGGGAAAGATACCCGAAGGCACGGTTAAAGAGGTCGCAAGGCAAGGTCTTGAAAATAACAAGGGAGCATAAACACGACAGCCACTAACAGATCTAACAGTAAGTTTAGGAGGAACGTCTTTGCGCAGAGGATCAGCGCGATGCTCCTCATTACTGCACAATCAGGTTACTGTGAGGAGAAGTCCTGATTATAAATTTGTGTGGAATTAGTGGATTTTAGACCCATCGTCTGGTTTTCACTGTACCCAGGCAGCAACTTCAATGTAATAATTAAATGGGCGGAAAAGAGAGTGTTGAGGGAGTCCCCATCAACGTGTTGACTGAGCCGCTGTAACTCACTGATGGCCGGAGCGATGCCTCCCACGGAGCCCGGCCCAGGGATGTTTCCAGCCACAGCAGCCGCCTGAGCAGCAGCCGCTGCCTGAGCTGTGGCCGCCTGCTGCTGCATCTGACGGTGACACTGATGTAAGTCAAACACCTGGAACACAAGCAAACGGGGTTTACACCAACTCAACTCACATCAACACAAACTCACTCACATCAACACTGCTGAACGGAATCTACCTGTAAGGATTTGACTGACCTTGATGTAAGCACTTGGATAGATCTTGTGAACGGCATCGCCGGGCGCACGCCCCGCTTCTCGATCCAAGTAGTAGCTCTGCACAAACACCGCGTGGTCGCTGAGACACCGCACCCACACGTCACCTTCCCCTTTGCACTCCAGCTGCACACCTTTCCCGATGTGCAGCCTGTCAAGAAAGAGAACATCCATCAGTCGAGGCAACCACTTCGTTTTGCAAAATTACATATAGCATATAGTATACACAACAACAACATTACATTTGCATAGCACCTTTCATGTCAGGAGGACATCCCAAGACGCTGGATAATCAGTATGGGACCCGAGCTCGGGGTCGGGATCAGGGTGGGTGGAGGGCAGGGAGGAAGGAGAGTGACCGAAGGCACGGTCGAAGAGGAGGGTCTTGAGGTGGGTCTTGAAGGTGGCGATGGGGGAGCAAGGCTATGGAGCGCTTTGAAGGTGAGGATGAGTATCTTGAACTGTATCCTCTATGCGATGGGAAGCCAGTGGAGTCGGGGGAGGATGGAGGTGATGGGGGTTGTGAAGCCTGGTGCAGGAGAGGACACGGCCTGCTGAGTTCTGGATGATCTGCAACCTGTGGAGGGAGGAGTTGGGGAGCCCGACAAGCAGATAGCACACCTATAAAAAATGTCAATGCACTCAATAGCCAATAATTAGTCCTGCCTCTGCTCCCTGAGTGTAGATAGGGCCCTTATATACATATTTTAATAACAATGCATGATTGTTACTAATATTGACAATAATTCGAGAGATGATGCTTCCCAGCTTTGTTGCACATTAAAGAGGAATTGCGTACTGTCTGTATTTGAACGCGGTAGCAAATGAAAGACAATTTGAAATGAATCCTGGTCCGTTTCCCCTCTTTTCTCCTCATTGCTTACCTGGCTCTTTCAATGGCTTCTGTCCTGTGGACGTTGGAGAGCTGGCCGAGACAGAAGCGATCTCCTCCCGAGGGATCCACATACCCGTCCACAGTGACAACAGGGCAGCTGGAAGGCACCTTGAATGTCTCCCCCACCTGCACGTCCATCTCGAAGTAAGCAATCGAGCACCAGTATTCGGGGACTGAAACCAGAGTATAACAAAGATCAATCTTAAAAATGCAGGAAGGTGCTCTATGTTCTCCAACACACTCATAGTTTTTAAACTGTGTACTGTTGGAACACAAGAAGATACTTCAATCACTGTACTACACCCATCCTAAATACCATCTCATCGTTCTCTCGACTGTTTCACGCTTACCTTTCCACTTTGTTTCTACAAAGCTTTTCCTCTAGCCCTCACACCGTCACGTGCGGCATTCCTCAGAGCTCTGTCCTTGGTCCTCTGCTCTTTAATATTTATATGCTCCCGCTCAGTGATATCATCCGGAGGCATGGGGTTAACTTTCATATGTACACAGATGACGCCCAACTCACTTCTCTGCCTGCACCCTCGACTCTGCTGTCCTGACAGAATGTCTGTCAGACATCAAGTCCTGGATGAGAGCTACTTTTCTCAAGTTGAATGTAGATAAGACCGAGGCTCTCCTGATTGGCTCCTGTCTGCGCCTCCTCACCTCAGGCTTTGGCAGCATCACTATTTATACAACAACTTGCAATTATATAGCACAGGGGGATGGGGGGGTGTGGGGGGTAGGTGGCTGTAAGCACGGTTGAAGAGGAAAGTTTTCAGGTGGGACTTGAAAGAGAGGAGGGGACAAGGCTGAGGGAGAGTATTCCAGAGTTTTGGGGCATAGTGGCTGAAAGAACGATCTCCGTTGGTGGGATACAGGGTGCGAGGGACGAGCAGGAGGCCGGTGCCAGTCGAGCTGAATCACCGGGTGGTGGATTGGGGTGTGAGGAGGTGTTGTCAACTGTGCTTTAAACCCCACATCCGTATCATGACCTGTTCTGCCTTCCCCCACCTCTGCAACATTGCCCACCTCTGTCACTACTTCTCCTCTCAGACCATCGAGACCTTCATCCATGCTTTCATTTCGCTCAGGCTTAACTACTAACTCCCTGCTTGCTGGACTTCCTAACTCTTCCCTCCATAAGTTACAGATTATTCAATACTCTGTAGCTTGTGTCCGCTCCAACACCAAGCTCTGTGAGCCGATCACCCCAATCCTCACTCGGCTTCACTGACTCCTCATCCCCCAGAGGATAGAGCTCAAAATCCTCGTTCTCACTTTCTACGCCCTCCACAGTCTTGCTGGTCCCTACTCTGCAACCTACTAACACCTAGCAACCTTCCGACTCTCTCCGCTTGGCAGGCTGCGGTCTGCAGTCATCCTCCCACACCCAGCCCCATTACTCTCCACTCCTCAATTCCAACTCACAGCTCAGGAGCAAACCCTCGACTGTCCAGTGCCTTGGGGTATCCTCCTGACGTGAAAGTCACTGTGTAAATGCTGTGCAAGTTTGTTGTTGTTGTTGCTGGTGGGCTGTGCAGCAAGTGATGGCCATGGTAACTTTGCAGCTCTTTTACTCAGTTATTTTTGTAGTTAAAAAGATTACTTAAAAAGAACAAACCAAAAGTTTAACATAACCCTTGATATTATCCGTCAATTAAAACAAAACAAAAAGGCATCCCTAGTTATGAGGAGTTATGTATTTGTCAGATTTTTTTTTTACAACTGTACTGACCTGGATGATTGGAAATGGGAGGCTGGTAGGCAAGTTCGTTGTGCACTGCCCCTGGGAAGAAAGTTGGGAGAGAATTTCAAGTATTAAATAAATTTAGGAACATAGGAAAACAGGAACAGAGGAGGCCAATCAGCCCTGTTCCACCTGCATCAACCTTTGGCAATCTTTTAATCCTAATGTCCTGCCCTTTCACGATACCCTTCTCTTGAGGGTATGGTGAAAGATACGAACATAAGAATTTGCTCGGTGAAAGAAGACCAAGGTCCAACCAGTTCGCCTTCCACCATCTTGCCAGTCGCTTGCACATATCATATCCCAAACTATATACTGTATTCAATGAGAATAACAGAACGTTGCAGCACAGGAGCAGAACATTTGACCTACCAAGTTTCCATTCACTCCCCACACGCGTTCATCTTCATCTTTCACAATCACTAATCTAATTGGGCTTTCAAAGGAATTTAGATTCTGCTTCAACAATGGCTTGTGGCAAAACATCCCATATTCTGAGTAAAGAAATGTTTTTCTAACTTTAATTTTTTTGTTAATATCTTAAAATTTGTGCCTACTTGTTACTAACTTATCAACTAATTACTATTTACTTATATTATTTATATTACCACATGTCAAGCGACTGCCAGGATGGTGGAAGGTGAACTGAATGGACCTTGGTCTTCTTTCGTCTCGCAAATACCTATGTTCCTATTTTCTCTATCATAACCCTTCATAAGTGTCAGCCTGATTTAATTGGTAGTGCTCTCACCTCCGAGTCAGACGGTTGTGGGTTTAAGGTTCATACTTGGGACTTTGAACTCACAGTCCAAGCTGTCACTGCAATCCAATGCTGGGAGAAGTGTTGGATTGTCAAAGATGCCATTCTTCAGGTGGACATTAAAGATTCCACTGAAACCCGGTGACTCAGCTAATAATCCTCCAGATAAAACATTGTTCACTCACTTTCTGACTATTTGGAGGATGTTGAAAGCCTCCATTGGTTTGTCCATTTAAGCAACTTGATTCTACAGTGCATATAAAGTCTAACTTCACATCTCTCTTCAGTAAATTGTATTCAAGGATTTCCAATGGTTGATAAGTTGACCTGGACTGTAAGCTCAAAGCCCCAACACGAGGCTTGAACCCACAACCTTCTGATTTGGAAGGTGAGCGATAGCAAGTGAACCAGGCTGACTCTTAAAAAGAGTTTTGATAAGAGTAAATAGTAATTGATTTTTCCATTGGCTCATAAGTCAATGTCAAGTCTGTTTTATGACAGAATCCCATCCTCCCAGGTACCACCTTCGAGGTAGTGAGACTTACAGTAGTGGCCAGTGTGATGTATAGCCGTGTGGTGTTGAAGATGCCCATTCTGGTGGTGGGGCAGGTTTGGGGTGTATGGTGCTGTTCTGCTTGCTGTCCAAGTTGTAGAGCTGCCTGTTAAAGTAAAAACGGGGACGTACAAATTGTAAAATTCATCTCAAACAGAAGACTTCCACCAACATCCCTCACTTTGATGAGCGCAGAAGCCGCTCCTTTTAAAAATAATTGGTAAAATAACAATGATAATCCTTAAATTTGTCCCCTTGTATATATATTTTTTTGGTCAGCGAGGTGTCTGACACATGTGGAAACCCTTCACCACGCTTGAGAGTATCCAAAAATATTTAAAAAATGCACTGTATATGTATAATATACATTATACAAATAAAAAGTTTAAAAAAACACAATAATTATTTGGCTACTCAATCCACAGCGGTTTGTGGGACACTACTGTGTGCAACTGGCTGCCGCATTTAGCCCACAAAATACACAGTTGATTCACTTTACGATATATTCTGTGAAGTGCTTTGAGACATCTCAATATAAGGCAAATGGAAATTATTATTATTACATAGTTAATTACTCCTTTGTGTATTTATTTCGATTTACACTCTACTTTCTTCTTGTTCTACTTTATACTTTTTTTTAATAACTCTGTTCTAGTCTGATCTGTATAAACTCGTATAATCGCCGAAGTCGCACATCTGCCCAAATCCTGTTGAATTACCTATTATTCATATGTTTCACATAACTCATACTTTGCATAACTCATATCAAATATATATATAAAAAATAAAATGCAGACAATTCATTTCATAGTATATTCCGTGAAGCGCTTTGACGTGAAATGACGTGAAAAGGCGCTATATTAAATGCAAGGATTTATTAGTAGCATTATTTTTAAACGTATGAGTCCCAACCGATAAGACTTATGTAACGTTTACTGTACTCCGAAATTGTAATCTAGTCAATCTCGCCCCAACTAGAGGAGAAGTAGGGAATGTTCTTAATGCATCAACTGACAATGTAATATTTGAGCAACTAAAGGGATGAATCCTCAGGGAATGACACACTAACAAAAGCTGTAATAATTTCATCGCATATACCATTCTTAACACTGTAACAGGAAACATTTATTACATTTTAAAAGTTTATTGTCCTGGAATTTGTAGTAAATTTTCTCCACAGCAAGGTTTCATTCCCACTGCAGTGACATCTCTCAAATAGGAATTTGGCTAAAAATCAGATTTCAGGCTCTTTTATCAAGAAAAAATAAATAAATTTAGGTCTAAGCTGTCCCCATTATGATCCAATACCCCCAGTAAGTCTCAAACTTCTCAATAAACAAACTTCGCAGCCAGAAATAGCATCAAATTTTGAAACCTGGATAAAGCAATGAATTGAACAACAATATAATGCCCCATTGGGCGGCGGAAACACGATGCCGAGCCAGGGGGAGTTGACCGTTGGTACGGTCAAAGTGGAAGGTCTCCAGGCGCGACCTACAGATGGAGGAGGGATAGAGGAAGAACGTTCCAGAGTTTCGGGGCATAGTGGCTGAAAGCACGGCTATCAATAGCCAGGCGAGCGGCGGCAGCGGTTAATGGGTTGGGGTGGGTAAGCAGGTCGGCAAGATAGGGAAGTGCCAACTTTATACAGTCCAAATACATCTTCTCACTCTCTTCTCTCCTCTGTGAGTTTATAATGGCTGAGTTACAAGAGCTGATCGTTGGTCTACACTGAAGTAACTAATCTAAATCAGGGGGATATGATGCAGATATATTTATACTAATGGCTTAAGAGGAGCAGCGGAGAAATAAGAACCTTGTTAAAGGGAAGTATAAAAGCAGCTGCCTGGGAATATTAAAGGATGAAACAGGAGGAGCCCATGAGCCCATCAAGCCTGTTCTGCCATTTTATTACATCCTGAGCAGATATTTTTAAAAATCCCATTTACCTGCTTTTCTCGGTATCGCTGAATACACTTTATTTTGCAACTCCTTTACATAATAATCCTTACATTTGATATAGCACCTTATCACATCTTCGAGACGTCTCAAAGCGCTTCACAGAATGTAATGTAAAGTGGATTGACTGTGTATTTTGTGGGCGAAACGCGGCAGTCGATTGCACACAGTGTCCCACAAACAGTCGTGGATTGAGTGACCAAATTATTAATTTAAATGTATTTATTATTTTGAAGTGATTGTTACCCCAGAAAAGCGATCCACCAATCGACTAACATCCGGGTTCCTACTTACTGCTGGTAAACAGAGGCATGTGGACTAGGGAAACTTGCCCAACGTTTCACCTTGCTCAGAAATCGCACCCAGGTCCTCTCGCTTGCAAGGTGAGTGCTCTAACCACTAAGCTACAGGACTCCACTATCTAAATCACGTACACCAATCAATTTTTCATTTAGGTCAGCGAGTTCCATACTTGTGTATCAGACTCCTACAACATAAAAGGAGGCCTCAATAATAATTACAATTAAATCATATTTAACATTAATTAGTTACTATGAACCGATATTAAAATCTTAAACAATTAATTAGAAATTAAAATAGCTAACAAATTTTGTTTTAAATACTAGGCAAAGGATTGTAGAATGTAATGAGCTTGCCATCTCTAACAATCTTTGAACCTCCTTAAACACGACTTTCTAATTGCATAACACAAAGAAATGCTCAAGTACCAGAGCTCAGCCCATCAACAAATCAAAGACTGCATTTCCTACATCATAACAAGTTACATTATTCAATCCAAACAGTCATGAACTAGACAATACAAATTGACATTTCTATAGACATTTCATGTCAGGAAGACATCCCAAGGCACTGAATAATCCTGGCTTGGCACCCGAGCTGGGATGGGGCGGATTCAGACAACAGAAAACCGACTAAGTGGTCAAAAACCTGTAGCAATACAAATTACCGATGAATTTTCATGGACACATCTGAATAAGTTCCATTCCACACGTGTAAGAAATGACAAAGAGGAGAAGGCTTCAGAGATGCTTCTATTCCATTTTGTTTGAAAAAGTCATATTTAATGTTAAATATTTCAAATGCATAGCTTATCTTACTGCATTCACACACAGCTTTACACTCACTCCGCACTGGGTAAACGTTATATCTTGATGTTCTAGAATAAAAAAACGTGAACATTGAAAAGAACAAGATCTTGCCATCTAGTTCATTGTACCATAAAGTTGGTTTAATAAAAATAAAAATGGTGAGTGAATCACAGCACAAAGAACTTGTAATATAAAAAAAAGGTTTACAAAGCATACAGGAATGGAGTTAACAGGTGAAGGAATTACAGTCTTAATTTTGCTCTAGTTTATGAACCTGTTCGAACTCTCAAGGGGCAGCCGAGGTCTGAAAATCCACCTAGTCTTAGCGTGTTGCTATTTCAGATTGTGTAAAACTGGGGAAAATTCATAAAACCAATCTCAATTTGGAAGTTGGTTTTCTGCAGTTCTTAAAAATTAAATCGGATGTGAAGCGTTTGCCACAATTCTGTGAAATCTTAAATTTTAAGACAAAATAATAATCCTTAATTTGTATAGCACCTTATCGCGTCTTCGAGACGTCTCAAAGCCCTTCACAGAATATATTGTAAAGTGAATTGACTGAATACCCTCCACCCCCTCCTGATCCCAACCCCAGCCTAGGTACAGATCCCTGACTGTCCAGCGCCTTGGGACGTCCTTCTGCCATGAAAGGTGTTATACAAATGTTATTTGGTATTGTGGTATTTTGTGGGTGAAACGTGGCACAAATTATGCACAGTAGTGCCCCAAAAACAGTCGTGGATTGAATTTTTTTTAAAAAAGGGATTATTACTCCTGGAAAAGCGATCCTCCAAACTGGGTTCCTACTTACTGCTAAGTAAACACAGGCGTGTGGTGTGGAGAAAGGAAACTTGTCTAATATTTCACCCTGATCGGTAATTGAACCCAGTTCCTCTCACTTGCGAGGCGAGTGCTCTAACCAATACCCTACACAAATAATCTCACAGGTTAAGACTAGATGGAATTTCAACCCCACTACACTTCTCACCTTTTTGTTCCAGGTATAAAGGAACTAATTATGTCTGATATCTGGATTTGCCACCTTTTAGTAACTCATTTGTCAGTGTGAGAAAGGTCTACTTTGCAGTGACAATTCTCCTCCCACTCCGTCTCAATACACTGTTATTTATTCACTTGTATCGGCTTTAAAATCACTACCATGTAAAAGCAATATTCAGTGTAGGCAGAAACGGCAACAGATTTCTGTCTAGCAGGCAGGCCGGGTCTCCTTGGACCTGAATTGGCTCCAGTGACATGCTTGGCTACAGAATCTCAGAATCGAGCCCATCCTCTGTGACGGTCTCTAGTTTGGTTCCCGAGCCAGGCAGGTCCGCAGTATTCCAGTGCATTGCTGATAACAGTCCTGGCTCGCCGACAGGACTCGGTAAGACAGACTGCTCACTAGGGGAAGTGAGTCGTCCCACACAGCTCCTGTTAACCCTGCAAGCCAAAGCCCTAAAGGGTGTGGATAGCCAAACATTGTCTCAATAAGGAAACAGCTTACCTCTGCAGAGATTGTCAGGAGATGCATTATCTGTGGTTTGCCCGGCAACCCCACCATCATAGTCACTTAGCCAGATAACTGCTGATAAACACGAGACGTCACCCTTCCATGTTGAAATACAACAGCCAGGTCAGACACCAGCTTGCCCTTAGTAGCAGGTTACAATGCAGCAGTTCTATGCTCTAACTGCTTTCCCCCATTGTAATAGGAACAGAAATCTTTCCCAATGCAGGTGTCTATCGCACCATTGAAACCTGAGCAAACTTATAGGGACTGAAAATTCCTTCCAATCCAAAGAAACTGTACAATCAGTCTTGAGATATTAAGTGCAAAGTGAGCAATATCGCTGGTAAATTTGGGGCAGGGAAGGGACAGAAAGGGTGGGAGAGAGAAGAGAATGAGAGTTATGTCCAGGGCATGCTTCTTACAAACCTTTGCCTAGCTGAGAACGGTAAAAACTGTTGGGTTCACAGGTATGATCACTCCCTCAAGGTTGGGAGATTCACAAGTATTCTTAGCACACAAACCAATAAC